AGTTTAGGTTTGGGATAAGGGAAGCAAAGGTGAAGTAGTTGCTACCTGAGCCTCTTCTGGCAGCATCAAGTAGAATAGATCACCTCCAAGGGGAAGCACAGAAGGCAAGAGGAAGAGGTGAGAGGAGTGGGGACAAGCTGGTAGCACTCCACTGTGTTGACAACGAGCCCAGTGACACAGTCAACCGCTGAACATGCTCAACAGGTCCTAGTCTGCCCTGCTGCTCAGCTGCCAGAGCTTAAAAGGTCAGACACGGAGGGCTTTGGCAAGAGACTGATTTTAAGTTTCAAATGTGGTTCTAAGTTAGCTGAGAGAAACAATGGTGTGAAGGAAGAACACACAGGTTGAGATGGAAAGGGGGGGACTGGAGCTAGGACTCAAGTTAAGAGCACTTACTGTTCTTCCAGAAAAACGGAGTTCAGTTCCTAGCACCTACTTCATCAGGTAACTCACAACCTCCTGTAAGTCTAGCTCCAGGGGATCTGCTGTTCTTCACTGCTTCATATCTCTCTCAATCCCCCTCCCTAGTCCCACCCCAACCCCTCCGCGAAAGGAAGGAAGGCAGAAAGAAAAGTCTTTCTAAAATGGGTGAAGAGTTGGTAGATGAGAAAAAGTAGGAGCAACATGTCTGTGGTAGATGGACACAAGAGTGTGGTCAAACACAGACTTCCTGACTTGCTGATCTGGCTGTGCTGTGTGTAGACAAAGATTTAGGGAGTGGGGGGATCTGGGGTGGTTTGTAGGGATCACTAATGGGAAGGAACCACAAATCCCAACAAGTCAGGGAATTGAATGGGGCAATAAACTTAACTAGAGGATAAAGTGCATCTATCAAAGAGGTAGATGGAACAATCTAAGTCCAATAAATTCAGGGAAGGGCGGAAAACAAGGCTGCCATTGGTGATGGGAGAAAGTGCACAAGTTATAACCACAAGGTGTGCAGAGGCACGGGATGCAGCTCTGGGTGATGTACCCATGATCAGGCTGGGACACACGGGTGGGGAGCAGTGTCTGGTAGCTATGCTGCTATAAAGAAAGGCTCCAATCCTCCTTGTGGAAGGTCGAATCTACCAGTAAAGTAGGTATACTGGATCAGCTGCTTGCCACCTACTTTAATCTGAAGGGTGCCCATCGGTCTTTCCTCTAGCTTCATGCAACACAAAATGGTGGAGTATCCAGATATGTTCCTGCAAGCTTTCAAAGAACTGTCTGGTCATACAACAAAGACATATGTTCAACCATGTTCATAGCAGCACTATTTGTAACAGCCAGAAACTGGAAGCAGCCTAGATGCCCCTCAACCGAAGAATGGATAGAGAAAATGTGGTACATTTACACAATGGAGTACTACTCAGTGGGAAAAAAAACAAAAAAACAAAAAAACAATGGAATCTTGAAATTTGCAGGAAAATGGATGGATCTAAAAGAAACCATTCTGAGTGAGGTAACCCAATCGCAAAAAGACAAACATGATATGTACTCACTCATATGAGGATTTTAGACATAGAGTAAGGATTACCACCCTACAATCCACACTGCCAGAGAAGCTAATAAACAAGGAGGACCCTAAGAGAGACATACATGGTCCCTGGAGAAGGGGAGAGGTTCAAGATCTGCTGAGCAAATTGGGAGCACAGGAAGAGGGGGTAGGAAGCTAGGAGAATAAGAAGGGGATAAGAAGAGGGAGGCCGAAGACATGAGGGAGCAGAATATATGAGTCAGGGGAAGAATACACGATAACAAGAATGGAGATACCATAATAGAGGGAGACATTTTAGGTTTACAGAGAAATCAGGCACTAGGGAAATGTCTGGAGATCTACAAAGAGGACACCAGCTAACAATCTAAGCAACAGAGGAGAGGCTACCTTAAATGTTCTTCCCTAATAATGAGATTGATGAATGACTTATATACCACCCAATAGCCTTCATCCAACAGCTGGTGGAAGTAGAAGCAGACACCCATAATTAATCACAGATCTGAACTGGAACCCAGATGCAGAGAAGGACCAGTGAAGAGCACAATGGTCCAGACCAAGCTGGTGAAACCCACAGAAACAGCTGGCCTGAACATCGGGGAACTCTTGCTCCCCAGTCTGATAGCTGGAATACCAGCATGGGACTGATCCAGACCCTTGGAACATGGGTTTCTGTGAGGAAACCTCAGAAATCTATGGGACCTCCTGTAGAAGCCCAGTATTTATCCCTAGCATAGGAGTATTCCATATAGAGGAATACTCCCTGAGTCAAGACACACAGGGGGTGGGCCTAGGCCCTATCCCAAAGGATACGAAAGACCCTATGGAAGGCCTCACCATCCAGGGGGAGCAGAAAAGATATGTGAAAGATAAGGTTTTAGTTGGGGGGGGTAGGGAAGGACAGGTGGGAGAAGGGAACTGAGATTGTCATGTAAAACAATCCTGTTTCTAATTCAAATTAAAAAAGTTGAAAAAAAAAGAACTGTCTGGGAAATATAAAATTTATCTTAAAAACTCTGGAGGATGTCACCCATATGCTTAGGATTTGAATAAATTAATATTTCTAATTTTTAAGTGTTTTTTTGTTTTATTTTGGTTTGGTTACAGATCCTTCACTTTTGTTCCAGGAAAAAAAGGGGGGATGGGGTCCTACAGCCTGGCACTTACCAAAGTCTATGAAGGTTTTAGCCACATACCTGTGTATAACTGAGAAAGTAGAGACTTAATGTGTCTTTCCCTTAAGATTTAGAGACATGGGCTTTGTTTTTGAACTCTCCCGTTCTTCCACTGTCTGTAACTGCTTGAGCCTATGGACTCATTTGCATGGGCAAACTTAACCCTTTCACTCCTGGGAATAGACTTGCCAACTTTCTGGAGCTGCTGCTGAAGTTTACACCTCTGTTTTCTATCTTCACAATAGCTTTGCTGGAACTCTCTGAACAGCCCCATTACTGCACTATTAGGCAAACACAACTCATAACCCAGAGCAAACATTTTAACCTCTCTGGTTAAGTCTCTGGTTAATTCCCTGGAGGGAAGAAGGAGGGTATGCATGCATATCATTAGACTATGTATCAACCTACGACCTGCCTGACAGCCTGCTACATATCTGGTGTATGCTAAGTGCTACAGAATCCTTTGCTGTTACACATTTGCATAACTCCTCTTTTGGGAGGATTTGTTGGGACATTCAAAACAAGAACCCAACCCTCATCTTAAGCCCTGCTATCATCACTGACTAATGAGATACATTTGATGAGATACATTTGATGAGTGAACTAAACAAACAAGACAATATTCACCTCACAGAAAAATCAAAAGGTAGATACTAAAACTAACAAGTTGGTGCCAATGAAACAGCTCAGCTAACGGTGCCTGCTCTCAAGCCTAACGACCTGAGTTCAACACATCGGATCCACATGGCAGGACAGAACACTCCTCTAAGGTGTCCTCTTATCTCAAGCCACGATGCCATGAGCCCCAAAACAACAAATAGATGTAACAACAAAGCAATGACCCAAAATATTCAGTTACTTATAATTCCCTTTTTTTAAAAAACTTAATTTAAGGAAGTCCACACTGTTAGTATTCGGGCATCTGTACTGGCCTGTCCTTGGGGGTCCTGACAGGATATACCCTCAACTCCAGCCACTAAGAGCCCCTCCTGTGAACATTCATTATGTTCTCTTTCAAAAGAGCCTCGCCTGCCCTCATCCTCCCCCCCCTCTCTCTGTGTGTGTGTCTCTCTCTCTCTGTCCCCCTCTCCTTCGCTCAGCCCCCTCCTTCCCTTTCTCCTCTCTCTTGATGCTTCTATCCCCGAAGGCTGGTCTCCCAGCTTCCCTTTCCCTAATAACAAACCCCTCTACTTGAACCCTGTCGCATGGTGTCTTTCTCTTGTGCACCGCTTTTCTTAAATTAGAATAACATACAGTATAACCTGACATTTCAAATACATAATTTAAACTCCGTAATTCAAATTTTCACTTTGCCACAGGAAAGGGGGCAAAACTACATTAAACCCCAGAGCCTGGCTCCCTAATGGTCCCCCTGTGACAATTCCATCTGAAGCTCCAGGAATCCAGAGAAGAGAAAGCTGTAACAGGGTGTACCCACTTCACCTCCCACCATCCTATAGCAGAAGTGTCTCCAGGCATGCTGGTGACAGATGGGGAATAACTGTGACATCTGAAAGTTTTCTAGCTATTGTGGCTATCATTCAAACTGTCCACAAAACCCACAGATGCTCAGGGTGGGGAAAGACCCCCATGTTCTCCCACAGGGGAGTACCCTAGTCTGCAGACCTTCTGCACGCAGAGCCACGCTACCCAACTCAAGCTTAGGAGAGCCAAAACTTGTACATCCTGTTTCTCTCTGAGGACCTGTTATCTCTAAACACATGGGTGAGCTGTCATGGAACCAGCATGGCTTCCTTCTTTTTCTGTGCATCAGAAAAAGTCACCTATTTCTTTCACCTGGAATTGAACAAATGGTCACGCTAGAGCCGGGAAGTGTGTGTTCATGCTTCAGGGGAAGTAAAATATTGGGCCAACCAAGTAGGGGCTGACATGAAAAGAGCTTGAACGAAGCGTTCAGGAAATCTCAGTTAGCACTGAAAACAGAAAGCAGCAACATCCGATTAACAAGGACTAACAAGCATCCCTTCCAAGCATGTAGGTGAGTCCACTCAAGGACTTCACGGTTACCTTCAAAAACAAGTCAGCATAAGAATACATATCTGTGTGTGTGTGTGTGTGTGTGTGTGTGTGTGTGTGTGTGTGTGTGTACTGACATTCTGTTCAAGAGAAGTGTGAAAAAGATAAAAATAAAAGCACAGCATGCTCATCCTAATTATAGTGTGTCCTCTAATTAAATGTTTGAGTTTTTTTTTTATTTAATGTTAAATGGAAAAGAAAAAACCCAAACAAATAACCAAATAAACAACACCACCAACAACAAAAAACTCACACCGTAATCCCAACTTGCAGACCACTGTATTTGAGAACTAAGATTCTTAAATGCTTACCTTTTAGTTCTTCATCTTTAATTACTGCTTAAGTGGTTGCCTAGGAAACCTCTAGGCTAAAGGGAGAACTGCAAGTGAGCTCTCACTTCGGGCTTGCAGGCTGACTTCCCATCTTTGATAGTCTTCCTGAGCTACTGGAGTCAGGTATTTGTGCAACCTGATGGCATGGGAGAAAAAAAAAGGATGTGAGTAATGACTTACTTTGAATATTCCTAACAAGAATGCAAGTTAAACATACTAAGTTCTATTCACATTAAATTTAGGAGAGAAATTGTTATTTTCAAAAACCCTGCTGTTATGACTTGAGATGGCTCAGTGGTTAAAAGCTTGTTGCTCTTGAAACATTGGGCCGGGATTCAATTCCCAGCATCCACATGGCAGTTCACAAGTAACTGCAGCTCCAGAGGTCTGTTGCCCTCTTCTGTATTCCGTGGACACCAGGCATGTATGTGATGCAGACAAAACATTCACAAACATAAAAAAAATTGCAATCCAGTAACAAGAACTATGGAATGTTATTTTATTCAGTGTTAACAAAATACTGTTATAGTAAAAGATAAGAGAGAACACACACTCTGGGAAAGCAAGGCCATGGAAATACTCACAGAAAACACAGCCAGCAGCCATGTGATGCTTTCAAAACCTGTTCTTTCTTGGCCTTTTGGCTCTGATACCAAAATTCCAATACCAAGGTTCTAGAATGTGCCTAGGGAGGAAAGGGAACTCTGACTAGGGGTGGAGGAAGAGGGAACCTATAAATTTTGTCTCTGTATTCCCTGACCTCTCGATGTCAATTCTGACTACTTTTTCTTAAATGTCCAATCTTCACTTACATAAAAAATAAGAACCAACCCCCAGAGCTTGTCTGTGAAGCTGCCCCAGGGCTGCTCCAGAGGATGGGTAGGAGGGGACAGACCTGCAGGCTGGCACATTTCCCCCAACCCCTAGAAAAATGTAAGTGTCCCATCATGACTTCCAGCCTATGAAAGGAAGTGTTTCAAGTTTAACCAACAGAGAACAGCTACAGCTGTGTAACCCCCAACCTCCACGGCATGGAATGGCCAGCTTCTCAGGGGGTGCTTTATTCTAATGTACTTTAAGTCTGTGGTCTGGGACTCCTTGACATTCTCTCAGTTGACTTCCAACCATCCAAGTAAAAGATTACTTATTTTTTCTGAGGCAGGGCCTCGCTGTGTAGCTCTGGCTGTCCTGGAACTCACAATGTAGATCAGATTGGCCTTGAACTCACAGAGGTTCACCTGCCTCTGTCTCCCTCCTGAGTGCTGGGAATACAGGTGTGTGCCACTGTGCCTGGCTAAAGATTTTTTTACCTCCCATCTTTTCAGTGGTGACTAGGCAGATAAATTTTATGTAAGTCCTTACTAGGAATTATTTTAGAAAATCAATCTTTTAAAAATGATTTATTTCAATTATTTTGAATTACGTGTATGTGTGTGGGTATACATGTTACTAAAAGTACCCATAGAGGCCAGACGATTATATCCTTCTGGAGTTAGGGTCACAGATACTTGTGAGCAGCCTGACGTGGGTGCTGGTAATCTAACTGGGCAGTGCAAGCTCTTAACTGCCAAGTTATCTCTCCACCTCAGAGTGGGTCCGTTATATACCTACTAGGGGCCTTACACTGCAAAAGTCTAAAATAACAGTACATGCTCTTGCCTGAATGCTCTGAATTTTCTTTCCCAACTGCTACCCAATCTAAAGCAGGAACTTAGGCTCTACAAGTCCTTAGCAAGGGACTCTGACCTCCAATACAGAAGGACCCCTTCCAGTGATTCTACCAAGGCCTGGAATTTCCCATCACCCTCTGCAACCCTTACCTTTCATCAGTTGGCTGTCATTCATTCTCTTAAACCCCAGATCTCTCCTGGCCTTTGCTATCCCTAAGGCCCTGCCCCTATCACTGAGCCTGGCTCAAGAGGTGGTTGCAGTAACTGTTCACTGGCCTAGTGTATGAGTCAACTTTCCAGGTACAGCTGTTCTACGGTTCCTTGTAGACTGGGAAAAGTCAAATCCAGGTGGATCAGCTGGCTGTTAGGACTATAAAAGCCAAGTAAAAACACTTTTTTTGTAAGTGCTCATTGTGTGGCTTTGCAACTGTCTTGAAGATGCCACAGAAGACAGGTTACAATTTTAGAGCATCCTTGTGAAGCCCAATCTTTGTGGCATAAAAAAAATTAGCAATATATTTTGTTTTGGAAATGTCAGGGAAGTTCTGTAGATACTCATGCTTGACGGTGACATGAAAATCCCTTTTCTATGGATGGCTGTTGGTGTTTAAATGGTTGGAAGGGCTCCTGCAGGCCTTAAGAGCATCTTTACCTTCCTCCCCAGTTGTTCCCTGATGGCTTAGATCTCTAGGACTTCTGAGTGAGAGCAAGCCTCTGTGGGGGACTGGAGATAGTGCTGAGGGCAAAGCCAGAAAGGGCAGGGACTCAGCTTCTCCACAGCAGATGACAGCTTCCTTCTCAAGTAAGACTCTTCACTCCCTGCTTGTTGTGCCAACATGCTTGCAAAGTGCAAGAGAAGGCCAAATCCTGTGTTTTGGGGGGTAGGGGTGGGGTACCTGGTTCCTAGGGGTACAAACTAGGGTGACTGAACAAAGCCAAGTCTCAAGCCTCAGAAGCCATGGCTCTTCTACAAACTCAAGAAATAGCACAGGTGGTCAACACGGAGGTTTGCAAACTTTCTTGCAAATATGCCAATTTCAGCCATCTATTTTATGAGACTTTCAGCTAGATAGAAGCTGTCATATCAGTATATTTCCCCCAACTGGGTCACCAGTTATTGTTTTGAAGATTGTTTCCAACCTTAGAAACTGAGCCATAAAATACATGCTAGCTAGGGCCAAACTCAGCATTAAAAGTACTTGTTGGTCTTGCAGAGTACCTGGTTTCAATTCCCAGTTCCACATGGTGACTGACAAACAGGTCTTGGGAATCCAAAACTTTCTTCTGACTTCCTTGGGCATCAGGCATGCATGTGGTGCACATACATACTTGCAGAAAAAACACTCCTACATGTCACATAGATTAAATAAAAACTACATCCTATCCCCCGAGTAAGGATGGTGGCTACAGCTAGTGAAGAGGGCACAGTTAAGTGGTAAAAGGCAGGCCTAAGTTGGGATCCTGTAGTCAATGTTTTGTTAAAAAAAAAAAAGAAAAAGATTTTCTTTGTTGCTACATAAAAACTTTTATAAAGCTTTATACATGTGTAGTATAATATGCATATTATATGCAGTACATATCCAAGGCCTTATATTAAATAGCCTTTAACCTACTTGACAATTTTCTCTATTTTTGATATTCAGATTTTGCTAGTCCATATACTAAGAATGAGTAATATTAAAATAGCAACGGTACACGGAACAGACCTCACTGAATTAAGAGCCAACACAAATGTGGTGCTATCTTGTATTTTATACGTACACGAGAGCCTGTGACAGTCTGCATGGGAATCCCCGTATGAACTGAAGACTGGTTTGACTGACCGAGAGTGGAACTGAAAGCCAAGGAAAGGATTTCCCCTGCAGTTGATTGAAAACACTACTCTTGTTTTTAGTTGTCATTCCAAGTGACCATGAAGTGAGCAAAAGACCCCTTTAATATGTAATTTTTTCAACCTTTCCTCTCAGTGCAGGATTCTGAAACTGGCTCAAAGTCAAACAACTCTAAACAGTTCCCAAGGTCAAGGTCAAGCCACCTAGAGGGAAGACATTAATTTCTACAGTCTTGGAAAAAAAGACTTAGTGAGTCCACCTAGACACAATGCTTACAGCTGTGGATGACACAGAATGGCTCCACAAAGCAAATCATTTTGGCAATCACAAAATTCACCACAAATTCTGAAAAAGTATCCTAAGAACTCAGATACCATTTCCATTCTGATTATATGCTAAAGTAATCCTATTTTAATCTTTTTTTCCCCCTGATTTTTCCAGACAAGGTTTCTCTGTGTAACTGTCCTGGAACTCACTCTGTAGACAAGGCTGGCCCCAAACTCCTAGAGATCTGCCTGCCTCTGTCTCTGCCTCCCCAGTGCTGGGGATTGAAGGCATGTGATGCCACTACCTGGCAATCTTTTCTTCATGAATGTAAATAAGACCTTGAGTTGATTAAGAAACTAATCAGACAAAACAACAAAAATTTTTTTCACCCCTTCCTGCAACACAGAGATGAGCCAGCTAACTAAGAAGGCCCATGAACTCCTGTAGGTGGAGAAGCAGGTGGAGCAGAGGTGAACAAGGAACTGCTCTGGTGTCGAGAGTCCATGTAAAAAGCACGAATCTTAAGGACATTTTTATACTCAAGTTACTTCCCGTCAGATTAATTAGAATCGTCGTATTTTGGAGTTTACTGAGGCACACTTCAGTATGGATACAATGTTATGATGCTAAACATTATCTCCCAACTCTAAGAGAAAACAGTGAGGTTTTCTTGTGCTAAAATCAAGAGCATCTGAGTGGAGTGGAGCAGCTGATGAGATTTACGGCTTATGGAAATTTTAAGGTAAAACCAAAATGCAAGCGATCACTAAGTAACACTGCTGCAAAACATTACTGCCTTTAGACCACTTTTTTAAAATTCTTGCATTGAAGGTTTTCAATATTATGTCTATACTATAGACATCTGAAATCAGATACGCCAACGTAGGCATGATTTCAAATACAGTATTTCAAGTATCAATAGGGAAGACAACTAACAAAACTTTAAAACTGAGACTACTGTCCTTGGTGACTTGTTCCCAGAGGCGGAGGGAGAAAAGAGGGAAAAAAACTTAAAGAAAACCAGCAATGAGCCAAGTGACAAGGGATTATCAATGGTGATGTCACACAGCATGCTCCCTTCACATGGGTGTGATTAAAAATCAACAACAACAAAGCCTTCACTCTGTGGTCTTGTTTCCCAAACTCACCTGTGAGGAATTTGAATAGGAATGGCCCCTATATAGACTCAGGTGTTTGAATGCTTGGCCATAGGGAGTGGCCTTGTTGGAGGTGTGGCTTTGTGGGACAAAGTATGCCACTAGGGGGTGGGCTTTGAAGTCTCAGAAGCTCAAGCCATGTTCAGTGTGGTGACATTCTCTTCCTGCTGCCTGTGGATCTAAATGTAGGACTCTCAGCTCCTTCCCTAA